AACCCATAATCTGAATGTGAATATTTGCGACCAGAACAGTCTCTTGATGATGCTAAAGCACTACTGTCCTTGATGTTAGAGGATTTTTAAGCTCTCTTGGAAGATGAGGCTCCAGAGAGCAGACATTAGTCCAAAGTCTATAACATAACCCACCCACTTAAATGTGGCATTCTTGTTTCAGTTGGCCGTCCTTCTTATTAGAACTGATTACAAATTCTCCACCAGTAAAGTGAGAGAAAGGATGCAAAATAGCGGGTTTTACAGTACCATGGGGGCTTCTTTCAATAATAAGTCTTAACATCAAGGCTTTGTATATTATAAGGTCTCTTTCTGTATGCTCCACTCAATGGCTTCATCTCACAATGGAAAATCAGAGAAGCTGCCAAAGAGCTAAACTTTCTCATGAACCTGCATTCAGGCTGATGGTGGCCAGTGGAAGCTAGTAATTAAAAGTCACCCAATCTGCATTGGCTTAAAGGTCTCCTTTCGGCTAGTGGCCAATCAGCCTGAAGTTCAAACTCCCTCTCTGGGCTGTTTCTCCTCCCTAGGGTCTCATCTCGTCTTCCTTTCTTCTGTAGCATCCAGATGATAGAAGGGTCCTGCATCCTTGAGGTGCTATGGGTACTTCTGGTCTGTTTACCCTCCATCCCTGCTGCCTTCTCCTGTCTTCCCAGGTGTATGACGTCTTTGCACTTGCTGCTGAAGGAACCCCTGCCGTAGTAACTTCTGGTCAATTCTCCTGCTGCCCTTGGGGACACATGGTCCCTTCCGACATCTGCCCCACTCTAGGGACTCACTCCACATTGGCTTCCACTGATACTGTGGATCCTCTGAACCCCACGGCCCAGTCCCTGGCTAAGCCTTCTACCCCATCACTTTGCTAAATGTCATCTTACCCCTTACCATGGTGACTCCCAGCAGGCCCGTGGATCTTAACTCTAAGCTACCTTCCATGTTCCCATGGAAAGCATGTGGACATCCTAGGCTCTCTGGCTCCAACCTAGAGCCAAGGGAGCCTGCAGAGAATAGGTGGAAAAGGGAATTGTCTTTAACTCTCTCTGCCTGAATTCACATCAGAATTATTTCTGCTCTGTGCTGTAGCCACACCCTGTGGGGTGGTCTCCTCCTAAAGGTCAGAACTGGAGGCCAGGCACAAGTCCCTTTCTCCATCTGCTTTTATTCCCATCTTGTTCCCTCCAGATTTTCTACCCATCCTCACTAGAAAAGCTTCTCCTTCCCTTTTCTGTGGAAAAGTAAGGAGATGGTTAAATAATGGACCAGCCATACTATGGAATATTATGCAGTAGTTAAAAAGATTTAGATACTATGATAAATCTGTACATATTCACATGGAAGAAGAATTTATACATATTCATCTGAATATGTTGTGTGTGTGTGTGTGTGTGTGTGTGTGTGTATACTCACACATACATACTCATTTATATGCCTGCATAAGAAAAATTTAAAAATACACAGCCAACTATGAACAGTGATTTCTCCTAGGATGTGAGATTTGACATAGTTGAGGAGAGGTTAAGGGAGGGAACTTCCACCTTAATAAACTTCTGTGTTGCACAAGTTATATAATGCTTTTGTAATTTTTGAGACAAATAGGAAAAGTATACACCAAGAGATGTTACTGGCACACAATCTCATTTACATCTTTGGAGTTATTTCCAAACTGTACATAGGCAAGAGGAGATGGAGAGGCGAGACAACACTCTCTATTCCAGTTCTCTCGTCCCCTTGTCCTGTGGAAGAAGGCAAGGTAGCATGCCCAGATCTTTAAAACTGTCTCCACTTATGCAGTTCCCCAGGACAGTGACATTGCCCCTCATGGGACCCTCTCTCCCGTCTTCACTCTACCTCTGCCTTCCCTCCTCTAGTCTCTGTGTGTTTTCAACTCCTTTCTGTCTGCCATTCAGAGTCCCTGTCTGCTTATTTCCCCAAGTTGTCATCTTCTGCCTTAGAAATCAGCAAGTCCCAAGTGTCCTCCCATGTCTTGAATATTGTCACCAATTCTCGGGTCTGCTATAAATTGATTGGTGTCTGTGCCATCCGGTTCTGCTGTGTTAAGCCCAGTGGTTGTCCTCAGAGAAGGAACAAGGTTGCCTGAGCCTCCATCTGGGTTACAGTTTGTTTTGGGGGACTGTTATTCCTGCCGTCTAAAATTAGACCTATCTGCCTGGGTTGCTTTCTCTCCAGAAGCACTCATCACAGCTTCTTTCAAGATCTGCATTCCTCCACTGCTGTATTTTTTAAGTTGCTCTTCTGAATGAATATTTGGACCCTCTCAACTTTGGGTTACACTAGAAAGCCCTCTTGGTTTAACTTGTTGCTATAGGGTGCCATACCCCACCTGTCCTTCCCCATTCCTGGGGCCATCTCCTGGCTGCAAAGGGGAGGAGAGGAGAGGGCTCCCATCACATAACAATATGCTCCATGGGTGCCTTGTATTGAAATGATATTCAATATCATCAACAGTTCTTAGATCAGTTCTTAGCCATTCATACATAGGAATAGCTAGTATTTTTTCTTTTACGTTTATGTTTAATAAGATTTCTTGTGAATTCACGATAGCCTAGGTTTATTTCCTGCCTTCACTACTTACTAGCTGTGTGATCTTAGGCAAATCATTTCTTTCTGAGCCTCAGTCCCCTTATCTATAAAATGGGGATATTAAGGGGCGCCTGGGTGGCTCAGTTGGTTGAGCGTCCGACTTCGGCTCAGGTCATGATCTCATGGTCTGTAAGTTTGAGCCCCACGTGGGGTTCTCCCTGTGCTGGACAGCCTGGAGCCTGAGCCCGCCTCCAGACCTGCCCTCCCTCCTCTGCCCCACTCATGCTCTGTCTTTCTCTCTCTGTCAAAAATAAATAAACATTAAAAAAAAATTTAGGCTTTGGTATGAGTCGGTTAGGCGTCCTGACTAGCCAGGTCACGATCTCGCTGTCCTGTGAGTTCGAGCCTGCCACACAGGCTCTGCTGATGGTTCGAGCCTGAGCCTGTTTCCGATTCTATGTCTCCCCTCTCTGCCCCTCCCGCTCATGTTTGTCTTCTCTTCTGTCCGAATAAAACGTTGAAAAAAATTTAAAAAAAAAAAATTTTAATGGGGATATTAATAGTACTGACCTCATAGTGGTATTCGCAGGTTAAATAAGTTACTAAAAGTAAAACACAGAATAGTGCCTGGCACATAATAAGTAGATGCTGTTATTTCCTCTACCGCAAATGCCCTTCTTTGTAACTTTTCCTCTTTAACTTATGTTTATTTTTCGTATTTTAATTACATGTTCCAAAGATATAGATCTTCCAAGTTCCCATAATACCTGCAATCATATGCACACGATTCATTCTTGTGCTCTTACCTTTTCCTCCTCACTCCCTCCCCATCTCTTGGGGCTTAGTACTGTTGTTTTTTTTTTTAATCATCTTTAATCAAATCACTAGCTCCAGGGGTCCTTCCTGACCACATGTCTCAAGGCTAAGCGAGGTCCACCTGTCGTAGGCACCCTGGTGTTTGCATCGACACTCTTGGAAAGTACAAATATTTGCTCTGTGTCTTGATTCCCCTGTAGGACCATGGCTTCGTAAGGGCAGAGACCGTGCTGTCCTCTCAATGCTGTAGCTCTGGTGTCTAGCTGAGCGCATGAGCATAATGGGTAATTAATACTCCTTTAATGAGAAAATGCAGATATAGGAAATAAGATTTAAGTGGATTACCGGACTCAATCTGCATTTCTATAAAAATCAACCTTTAAGAACATAGATAATTTAGAACAATTTTGAAAGGAAAATACACACTTGGAGAAAAGGTTGTTTCCATCTGAATCAGACCAGGACCTATTTTAAATAATGGTTCCTATTCTAATTCTTGGTATAGGTTATCAAGCTGATAAGGTTAATTACTGCTTTTATGGCTTTATATTTAATCTTGGGAACAAGCTTATTTACTTCATGAAAAGCTTTTGTGTTAAAAAAAAAACAGAAATATAAATGTGTGTGTCTATGTACACACATATATACGTATATATGCTGTGTGTGTGTGTGTGTGTGTGTGTGTGTGTGTGTGTGTGTGTGTGTGTGTGTGTGTGTGTGTGTGTGTATGTGTGTGCGTATTTTTTGTGAAATTCACTAAACCTTCCCTGGCTCCTTGAGTCTTTATCAGGCCCTGTTCTGAGTTTCCTTTCAATTAGAAAAAGGCTCCTGGCAACTTTATTCCTACTGTAGTTGTGTCAGATAGTTTTGTGTAAAATAGCTAAATATCTTCTTTAGCTAATCTAATAACTAAACGTTACTAGGAATTTTATTTTTTTTTTCAAGTTTATTTATATTGAGAAAGAGAGCAAGCACGAGCAGGAGAGGGACAGTGAGAGAGGGAGAGAGAGAACTCATGAACCATGAGATCACGACCTGAGTCGAAATTAAGAGTCGGATGTTTGAGCCACCCGGGCACCCCAGATCATTAGGATTTTTAAAATTCATTCAACAGTTAATTTTTTAATGTCTGCTATATGCCACAGATCAGCCTATTTCATTTTTTTTCCTGAAGGTTTTGGCCACATTAGAACAGGACAGCTTTCAAATCCAGCTGTGTGGTAGTTCATACACAGCAAGTGAAATAAATCTGTGCACTAGAAACTCAAGTTTTAAAAAGGCAAGTAAACTGAGATCTAAGTCATGGGGGAAAAAAAAGCCCGGCTCTGATTGCTGTGAAAATCTGGAGTGCCCCCGGCGGGGACGCATACATTCAGAAATTAATTCTCTTTACCACACAGCAAGTGCCAGTTGGTTAGGGAGCTGCTCTGTGAGTGACTTCATCTCGTAGCATCTTCTCTCTTCCATTTTGCGTTTCTGTTAAGATATAAAAGGTTGCATTTCATTCGCTTCCCTCGTTTAAGTCAGTAATATTCAATCCAACCAGAAAACCTAATCGTAGTGAGTTTGAAACCGCGCATTACCAATTGCCTCTAAATAAACATGACTAAATGTTCCTTTCACAGGTGCAAGTATTGGCATTATGATGAAAACCTGCTCACTTCCAGCGTTGTCATTGTCTTCCACAACGAAGGATGGTCAACGCTCATGAGAACGGTCCACAGTGTCATTAAAAGGACTCCAAGGAAATACTTAGCAGAAATTGTGCTAATTGATGATTTCAGTAATAAAGGTAATGGCTGTGGAAAATTGACTTTCTGTCTATGAAATAAGCTAATTATGAAGACTTGCAAAGTGTGATTCTAAAATAATTAGTCTTTAAAAATTAATAATTAGCATCTACTGATAGCATCTGGTACCAAACTGGCACTGTGCCAGGCATCATACATAAATTATTTTGTTTCATCCTGGCAATAATCCTTGAGATGGATACTGTCATTATCTTTATTTTACACGGGAGCCTCAGAGGTGTTCAGTAACTTGTCAAACGTCACAGAGGTACTAGTTAACAGATCCAAATCTACAGGCTCGTAAATCTGTGTATTTAACTACCATCTTACACGACACCAATTCTCTGGGCCTCGGATTTTGCAAAAATGGGGCCATGAAGATCATTTATTGAAAGACTGAAAAGTGCAATTGTGTTATGTTGTATTGCTACCAGATGCTCCATCCATAGCCGTCAACCTGAAATCCATATACCTATTTAATAGCCTAATTTTTGCATTTGAACAATGATACAAATATTGAATTTGACCAGACACCGCGGACCATTGTTATATATAATAGAAGTATCTACTAAAGCTTATTTTGTTCTGTATTTGATTTAGTATGTTGAATAAAAAGAAATTGTGTTGTGTTTTTTCTTCTTTTTAAGGAGCCAGCTATTATAGCGTTTAGGGAGGTGTTGGTTAACCTTGGTTCAACTTGGCAAGAGAGAGATTGAGCAGTGGTTTCCCAGATAAGTCGGTTTTTTAAATTAACATTTATTGTAAGCAGAATATATCTTCTGTTTTTTTTTTTTTTTTCAACGTTTATTTATTTTTGGGACAGAGAGAGACACAGCATGAACGGGGGAGGGGCAGAGAGAGAGGGAGACACAGAATCGGAAACAGGCTCCAGACTCTGAGCCATCAGCCCAGAGCCTGACGCGGGGCTCGAACTCACGGACCGCAAGATTGTGACCTGGCTGAAGTCGGACGCTTAACCGACTGCGCCACCCAGGCGCCCCTTCTTAATGGCACAAGTATCAGAAGATAGATAAAGTTATAGTTCAGACCCCAAATCAGCATGCTAAATAAAAAAAAGATCGGTGCTGCTGAAACCCAGATCTGGATATTTATTTACTAGTCTTTGCTTGTCATAAAACTGAATTAGATTCTTTGAAAATTGACCAAAGCACTCAGGCTACTCAATAACAACAAGGTATTTGCTTTTTTTTTAGTAAATAAGTCTCGCAGAGAATTTTTGTGTACAAGTGAATATATTAGAGGTGAAGACAGAACATGGGTAGCCTGAAAATACCATTCAGAATGGCTTTACACAAGCTTTCTCCAAAACTTAATTTGTAACTCTCACAGTCTAGATAAACCTCTGCTGTTTTTGCAAGGACATGATCAGAATATTGATCTACACAGATGTCCTCACGGAGAAGAAATAGAAATAAGGCCTATTTCCTTTTCCCCTCATCTTTGTACAACTAAGCACTTTTTTCAACTAATCACTTTTAATTGCACTAAAAAGTGTAATCTTTTAAAATGTGTAGTCCTATCAAGTGCCCTCTACCTTAGACATCTTGACTGCAATTTTCTATGACAGGAGGGCTTTCATTAAGAATACGATTCCTGTCTCAAGATAAATATTTGAAAATACGTTTTGAAGTGATATTGTTGGTACCAACAGTATTTTAGATTTACGAAAACCTACATCTACAAAAATGACTTTGGGAAATCTCATGTATGTGATTATGTGGATTTTAAGAAGCCATATGTTATTAATACAAGCAGAGGCTTAGCATATCCTTTAATAAAAAGTGCAGATACACCAAAATGTGTTCCCATCCTAAAATAACTGCTTGGCTTCAGGAGAGGAGAACAGAATTTGGACTTCAGTTTTTTTGTCCATTTGACTTTAATTATTTTGTGTGATTAGTGCTCTAACATTTAGCCTCTTATAACACAGTTTAATAGCAGTCAAGTGCAGGACCTGCTTATCTTGCAGAGTGCAGAGAGGCATTGTTGGCGCTCCCCTTGAACAGAAGTACAGAAGGCCTTTAATTTTCCCCATTTCATAACAACCGTAAAATTTGTCAGCCCTATCCTTAATGAGCGAACATTTGGTTTGTTCTTTCCCCAATATATTCAGAAAGTAAAAGTTTGAGTTAACCATTTTTCCTTTAAAGACAAAACACTTTACTAATATAAAACCTCACAAGGAGCTGGCTGCTTATAACACTGGGGTTTCTGGAAAACACGGTGTCCTCTCTAAACAAGAATTGGGGCCTTTAAATAGAGCACACTCCTCTATGCTTGTACGTCAGCCAGCTGAGGCCAAGTGGGGCCGAGGTAAAATGGGTCTCCACACTCTCAGTGGCTCATGACAACACAGAGTTATACAGTTCTCTGGCTCATACTACGCATTTTCTGTGGCTCAGCCCCAGCAATGCCCCACACCTTCACTGCAAGGCAGCCTGAACTCATGCATTGCCCGCCTTGTGCAAAGGAAGAGAGAATGGTGAAACACTAGTGGGATTTTAACACTTCCGCTCACAAGTGCCTCACATCATTTTGTCCACAGCAGGTTGGCCATGGCAAACCACATGGTCTAAGCCTACTTTCAGCAGGCTGGGGAGAATAATTATTCCCCGAGGAGAGGCGAATGTTTTGAACATGATTAGAATCTACCACGGTGTGAGATCCCAAAGAAGCCAGAAGTCATGTGACTGACCAGCTTACCTTTTGGACCATCTTAGCTAAGAATCTAAATTTGAAGCACAGGCCATCAACTCATTTCTGGCCATAACAATTTATTTTAAATTTATTTAGATTGCATAGTGAAAAGAGCACTGAAATGCAGAGAGACAAATATCACATGACTTTACTCATATGAAGACTTTAAGACACAGAACGGATAAACACAAGGGAAAGGAAGCAAAAATAATATAAAAACCGAGAGGGGGACAAAACATGAGAGACTCTTAAATATGGAGAACAGAGGGTTACTGGAGGGGTTGTGGGAGGGCAGATGGGCTAAATGGGTAAGGGGCACTAAGGAATCTACTCCTGAAATCCTTGTTGCACTACATGCTACCTAACTTGGATGTAAATTTAAAAAAATTTTTAAATTGGAAAAACGTGGAAATGCAATTCAGAGGGTGCTTTTAAAAAGTAATTTAGGGGCATTTATGGTGGCGTGAATGGTTGTTGCCCCACCTCAGCCAGGCTCACGACCATGTCTCGGGAGTTCGAGTTCTCGTCAGGCTCTGGGCCGATGGCCTCAGGAGCCTGAGCCTGCTTCTGATTCTGTCTCCCTCTCTCTCTGCCCTGCCCCGCCCACTCTGTCTCCCTCCCCGTCCCAAAAAATAAACTAGAAAAAAAAAAGTAATTTAGGATTGTACCAAGCTGAAAAAAAATCAGAAGGTAATATTTAAAAAAAAAAAAAGTCACTTTAAATTGAAGGGAAAATTACCTAGGCCATTCTGGGACAAATATAGATCCAGCTGTGTGAGAATTTTTTATTTATACTACCCATGAAAACTGGATGCCAAAATGGGCATTGATTTTTTCTCAATCCTGAACACCCATGTATAAGTGTATTGCCAAAAATGAGTCATCAAGTATTAAGTGTACAGTCTAGACTAGTTCATCTCTAAATATATCTTCTTTGTTATTTTATGTATTCATGGCCCAAAGTTTTAAACAACTTCTTAAAATAATTTTTGTGTCCCCAAGAAACATCTTTAGAGATCCAAGAAGTTGTGGCTGTGATGGACCACCCCCATGGGCCTATAGTGACACAGACAAGTTATTCTCTGCTGGGAATTCAAGTTGGCAGCCACTCTTGAAAACAGTATGGAGGTTCCTCAAAACTGTACAGAACTACCCTACCACCCAACACTGTAATCTACTAGGCATTTTATCTACAGGATACAGGGTGCTATTTCAAAGGGACACATGCATCCCCATGTTTATAGTGTAACCATCAACAGTAGCCAAAGTATGGAAAGATCTTAAACATGGATGAATGATAAAGAAGATGTGGTATATACACAATGGAGTATTACTGCAATCAAAAAAGAACGAATCTTGCTGTATTTGCAAATCACGTGGATGGAACTGGAGGGTATTGTTAAAATGAAATTAGTGAGTCAGAGAAAGACAAAAAATCCTATGACTTCACCTGGCAGTGAGGACTTTAAGAGGCAGCAGATGAACATAAGGAAGGAAACAGCAATAATATAAAACAGGAGGAGGACAAAACAGAAGAGACTTATAAATATGGAGAACAGACTGAGGCCAAGAGGCTGTGGAGGGGGATGGGCTAAATGGGTAAGGGCATTACAGACCAAACTATTGTTGCACTATATGCTAACTAATTTGGATGTCAGTTTTATTTTTTTTTATTTATTTTTTTTTTTAATTTTTTTTTCAACGTTTATTTATTTTTGGGACAGAGAGAGACAGAGTACGAACGGGGAGGGCAGAGAGAGAGGAGACACAGACCGAAATATATTCCAGGCTCTGTCATCAGCCCAGAGCCTGACGCTGGGGCTCGGACGGACCGGCGATCGTGGACGGCTGAAGTCGGATCGGCGAATCATGCTTCACCCAGGCGCCCCTGGATGTCAGTTTTAAAAAATAAAAAAAAGTTATTCTCTTGCAACTGGGAAACCAAGGTGGAAACTTTGGCAAATGTGTCTTTGTTTTGACAAAGGTTCCTCTACCAGATTGCAAATATATGTGTATATTTATTTGTTATACATAAACCTTATATTTAAATATTTACATATGTATACATGGTAGTTATATATATACATACACATGTACATGAAGCCATACATATACTTGTTGATACCCACAATACAGAGAAAATTGGATCCTTTGGTTATTATTTGGCAACTTGATGACTATATTTATCACACCAAGACCTCAACCTTCACCACTGAGTATAGCTAGAGAAAGATGGCCCGGAGACCAGTTTTT